ACTCCGAGCGCTAGTGCCTCGGTGGTCATGAGGACACGAAGCTTGGATTGCGGTCCGGGTTTCTGAAGCTCTTTGATCATTGCTTCCTTGTCTCCCTTTGCGGTGTCGCTATGGTAGACCTTCACCGTATCCATTGCCTCTTTGAGGGTATAGTTGCAATGTTGAACACTTGCCCCATCTGGTTGCTTGTTATGCTGCAGCCAATACCGACAATTTTCCATGGCAGTATATGCATCATTCTTCGAGTCAAAGAATACCAATGTCTTTGGGATTCGTGACGGTCGTAAAATGGGCTGACAAGGACCATTGTCAAACAGGAAACGCAAGGCCGTTGCCTTCTTATGCGCGCCTTGTGGGATCCAAGCTGTTTGAATGAGCAACTCTGGACGATTGACGGATGTCCGCAAGATTTCAACATCCTTTGGAAACCCAAGTCCCTCAATAACAACGCGCAATGTATTCATATCAAGCGTAGCAGAGCATGCAAACCAGGGGACGCCACTGCCGAATAGACTTCGCAATTGATGCAATCGCGCATAGTCCGTTCGAAAATCTTTGCCCCATTGAGCCACAAGATGAGCTTCGTCTACAACAACCAGAGCCAGCCGGTCTCGGAAACCTGGATGCATAGCAGTTGAACGGAACTTGTCACTGATTGCAAGCTCTGGACTCACGAGGACATGTGTGAACTTGCCCGCTTGTACCCTGTCAAGAAGTTCGGATGAGAATGTTTCCCTGTTTAGGAAACAAGGTCGCCCTCCAATGTTCTCGATGTAATTGGTCTGCTCAACGCCAATTTGATTCAATGGAAGCACAACAAGGGTGATAGACTTATCAAGCAAGAGTGACACTGCTTGCAATATCATACTCTTCCCAAATGACGTCTTCGCAATCAGGATAAGGTCCTTTCTCAGGTAGATCAATTGTCTCAATGCTTGCAACTGACCCGCACGTGGATAATAGGGATACAGCTCTCGAATTGCTTGTCTGATGGCTTGGTCCTGTTCATCCTTACGCTTCTCAGACGCATCGCGAATCAGTTTCTGCGCTTGAAGAACTGAATTCTTCTCAACTTGTTGTTTCTCCAGCAAGACAGTTGCGCCCTCATTCTCGTACTCCACTCCCAATTCAATAGGCTCTCCAGCCTTTGAAGAAGGTCGATTATTCTCAGAGGCCAACCAGTTATCCAACTGTGTCTGTCCATTTCCGGGGTCGTTCAGTTTCGCGTTATATTTCCGAGGAGGCTTCCGTCGTGATGGGCGTCGATCTGGCATCGTGAGGCGGGTTTGGAGTCAATTCTCACGCGATAGAGTTAATATTGTGGATCAGATGTAGCCACTATACATTAAAATATGTCAATATATGCTTCATGGAGGTTTTGGCGGAATACTTGGGGCATATAATGGCTTTGACAGCTTAAGAAAGGGTTCCTTCGGGTATTTTAAGGACATATTTCTCACCCACCTTTCCAGTTATACATACAATTTTGGTGTCAATGGGTTCAGCTCAGAAAGATGCAGAAGACATCGTCGCCCGATTCTTAATATTCGCGTGGGTGCGCGAGAAACTTGGAAATATTGAAAGACGCGCCTGGAAACTTCGCCATATAAACACGGGCAAAAACCCCGGAAACTTGTATGGTACCACCAAATTCCCAGCTCAGACGTTCCCCAAAAAAGGTGTGTCAGCATCGCTGGAAACAGCAGGCGGTGGATGGCCAAATTCACCGCCTTTTTGGGGGCGGCTGAGGTAACTGAGGTAAGAATAATGCGCTTATTCGCGCGAATACGATATTCATTTATTCATATTCGCGGGGTGCGAATATGAATATGCCCTATATTCGCATTCATTTATTCCTTTCGGAGCCCTAGGTGAGTGGAATATCGCGCCTCCTGCTGCGCCGGTTTTGATTTTGTGCCAAGTCTGTGCCCCAGACACGAACCCCACTGACATCTTCATGCTGTTGTAGGAGCAGCTCATCGCCAACTGTGAAAACTCTTGTGGCGAGTAACCTATTCCCGCCGAGTCAGATAAAACCAAGGGGCAGACGCGCCATCACGTCTTTCGCCCTCCACCTCACCGCCTTCACACCCTCAACAACAGAGTGCCTCTACACGGAGCAGTCTCCCAATACGACTGTACAATTTCTTGTCACAGGTGGGTTCCTCGCGCGCCTTTGCCGTCTTGTGAACTTGCCCGGTGCATCCAGCGCGGCTTCTCGAAGCGACAGCCGGAGAGTGCGACGAACCTGGAGACAACATGGCATATTGGTGACTGCATTGCAGAAGAGAATTGGAAGTGATCTAGTCGGTAAGCTGGTATTATGACAATTTTAATTGACCATCTGTCTCAACCGTACACTCGGGGAATTCTTCATCAACAACGTAAAGTACAACACCTCGTCCAACTGGATCAACGCTTGCTGACTCTGATCTTACAACAGGAAGACACCCTCATATTCTCACACTCGAATGCGAAGCGAGCAAATGTCTTGTCTGCTCAACCTCCCCTGCATCAACACCATCGCATGCTCTGTTTCTTCCACATGACTACTGGTGGCATCGATGATCGCTACCTCGACTTCTCCCAGTGGATTTGGTTCATCAGATCATGCGTTGGTATGCCTACCTGATGCAAGACCCAATGGAGCGTATAGCAGTGTCTGTCTCTCGGCATTCGAACACCCTCATAGGATAGCCTACTTGCGGCTTGGATCCCCGGCGTCCAGTGGGTGACCATCGTTGTCCTTGGATGGCGTCTACGTCTCTCGAGCCTGAAAGTCTGACGACACGGGAGGAGCCGATATTTCGTCTTGCTAGAGCCATATTTTCGTACACGGCGAGGTTGTTCATCGAGTCTGCTTGCAAGGAGAATGTGAGGCGAAAGTCCCGTCATCTCTAGCCGAATCAACTAACAATAGCCATGTCAGCTTCGAATCGGTGGACAAGACCGAGGACGGCCAAACGAAAGAGAGGACCCATGACCCAAGAACCACATAAACCACATCTGAGAGTGTCCCCTTGATTCCTCTTCCTCTCCGCGTTGCTGAGCTTGTGGACATGTGTGAGCGAGCGGGAACGAGTCGTTCGGGCATACACGGAGCTGCATGCTATCAAAAGTGTTTGTTTTGTCCCTGTTGGACCGAAGGTTGTTTGATATGATTCCTAAGCCTGCGTTTTTCTGTCCAAGCCCGAGCACTATGTGCAAAGCCCATACACGTTGAAGGTCACTGCAGCTGGAGGTCAGTCAAGCTATCCAATATCCTTTGTCCATTGAGACCGTCTTCTAACATATCGCAATTGGCGGCGCAAGCAGGTCTTGCCAGCAAATCACCGACTTCTCTACCTCCCGAGTTCACTGTCCTTTGAGCATCGATGATGTTTCCGCAAACCCATCGCGTCCGGACGATATCTGGCATATCACTGTTCGAGCAACTTATCGTGAAGGTGGGTTTGATGTCTGTACAAGCACCACTAGAGCCATTGGGTTGTAGGACTTCTTGGACTCTCCCGTACAGCCTATACTTAATTTTCTACCACTAATAAGCCCTTACGCCATATTTGCTTGAGGAGGAATTTCAGCGGACGCCTGCTAGGGCCGGATGTGGATTAGAGCGCCCCTGTGCGAATACCACCCGGTCCTGAGCGACGATCGTGAGATGTCTTTACCAGTTCTTGTTCCAGATGGCTAGTTGGACCCCAATTGGACTTCAACCTTGCTATATCAGTGGCGGAGCATGATGGATCGCATGGCTCAGGAATACGTCCACAAAAAGTAATGACCGTCGCTTTAATCGCCGGAGTGGAGTTCTTCGAGGAGTCCCGTCATTTCTAGCCTACTCAGTCAACAATGGTTATCTCAGCTACGGATCGAGAGGACGAGCCAGTCTTATTCCGAAGCACAGCCAATTCAATGAGAGAGCCCACGACCCAAGAATCACCGTCTAGTACAATCCTAACTGATCCCATTCCGCATTGCTGAGCTGTCCGACGTATTTGAGTGAGCGGAATTGAACTAATCGGACTTGCAAACCTGCATCGTGAGGGCTGTCGGAAGTGTTGTGACAGATGGTCGGTAGATTTGATTTCTAGACACGCTTTTTTCTATCCAAGCCAACCAATATGTGAAAAGACACAATTGCCCTGGATGTCACTGTAGCTGCAGCTGCAGGTAAGCCAAGCTGACCACGTGTATCTCCTGCTATTGTAGACTATAATTTATTCATACGTACTATCCCAGGTGCGTCAGGTTTGAAGCACATCGCCTTTCTACACATTGCATAAATGGTAACTCATGAATTATCATATCTTCATAACAACATCACTCCTAATACATCGTCAAAGATACATCACAAAAATACAAACAAATCCCTAAAGACCTCCCTCAAAATCAATCAACTCCGCAAAAGACTCCATACCACTCCTGCTACCACTCTCATTACTATCTTGACTATTCCCCAAATCCCCAAAATTCACCTCCCCATTCCCATTGCCATCATAAACACTGAGGAAATTCCCATTTTCACTGAACCCGCGACTCCTCCACTCCCGAAAATCAACAACAAACCCACTCCTGTCAGGCCAATCCTTCAAATCAATCCCCAAGCCAGGCGCAATCCTCTTAATAACATTATCACACATGAGAAACGCTCTCCGCGACGCCATATCTACCTGCGACGTAGCATAAATCCAGATCATAGCCTTTTTAGCCGATGCAATCGCCGTTTCAAGATCTGATCCTAGGAGTGGTGGGTATCCTACACCCGGTGCCAAGCTTGGCGTACCAGCTGTAAGCGGATCAGCGGCTCTGGACTGTGGTTGTGATTGTGATTGCGATTTTGATTGCAATTGTAATTGTGACTGTGACTGTGACCGTGACTGAGTCTGGGTCTGGGTCTGTAAGCCGGAGCTATAGGAGCGATATGCTAATCCCAACAGGAGAGATGATGTTGCCTGCATGATGAAATGAAGGACACTCCACCAGGGCGCTGTATATGCTAACTAGGAGAGGTCAGGTGATTCGGGTAAGATGGAGATGAAAGCACAGGCGGCTTGGAGACAATGTGTGGCCATTTCAGAGCGGAGATTGGAGCGGGAGCTTAGGTCTGGGTTTGAGCTTGAGGATTGGGGGCGGGATGCTTGGATTTGGGTATTTGTGTGGTTGTAAGTGAGACATGGTCTGCAGAGGATTATTCGAGCAGAATAGTAGTTCATTGCTAGACAGACACGTTCGCGGACGAAAGGCGCAGCTAGGTCGTCTAGTTGGGGGTGCTTGAGATGCCAGGGGCCGGCATCGGGCAGGGTGAATCGGTATGCTGGGGGTAGTTTTGTGAGCCAACAGTCCATTTTTAGGCCCAATTTCTGGACGTGGTATTCGGTTCTGGAGGCACCTTGGCGGAGACCTTCGATGCTGTCTACTTTATTCATGAGGGCTTGGGTGACGAGGTTTAAGTCGACGAGGTGGTGGACGAAGAGGGATGGGCGGAGGTGTGTGTCGCGGAGAGTTGGGTCTTGCAGGAGACGCTTTGTTTCTGGATGTTCGAAGGTTTCTTCTTCGCAGGGAAAAGGTACTGACCCTGAGCAGATATTCTCCGACACGCTGGAGGCGCGACCGGTTACCGACGTGATGAGGTGCTCGAGAGAGTAGATGGGCCACCAGAGGCGGCCGCGGGCTTCTTTCGCGGCTTCTGCAGTCTGGGGGTCTGTGAGACGAAGATTAATACCGAGGGATAGCGCGGAGCGGAGAGCCATGCTAGAAAATTTGGATGCCCTAGAGGTTTAGTCATCTAACTCGGCTGCATCGTGAAATGCGACCTACCTATTGATCTGTCCCACGCAGAGGAGGTATATTGCCATCAAACATTCTAACTGGGTCTGCTGGAAATCGCTGTGCTCGAATAGCACGCTGAAATGGAAGCCTAAAAGCCGCGCTCGGCTCAGGAAGACCAGGTCCTCTTCGCTCATGCTGTGGATATTCTCCATCAGTGGACAGTGCCGACAGCCAATGGCGAATACCATGTTCAGAATGGCGAGCCACTTCCGCGGCCGAGGCATTGCGGACATATCATCAAAGAACTTCTGGTATGGGAAAGAAAGTTGGACTTTCTAATAACACCAAAGGTCGGATGTACGTATGTCAGGTATGCGTCCGAAGTATCGATCTGCTAGTTCTCGCGGTGGCAAGGCATAAGATCACACGATTCAATGAACGGAATTTCCATGTTGCCGAGGTGATAGCCCATCATGGAAATAGGAAGGAACTTTTCAAGACTTTCGCGCTGAGAGGCGTTCTGACTGTCCGGATTGAAAGGATTCGAACTCTCAGAAGTATCTAGCGGGCTGGCCGTCCTCACTCCGCTGTCCAACTTGCGAATCCAATCGACCTCGGAACTTTTCCCGAAGTAGCCCGAGGCACAGCTACTCTCGTTTGGGTCCAGGTCTTCATCGACCTGGTCGATCGCTTCGAGCGAGCCCAAGGAGGTTGAGGAATCATCGGAGGCAAGGTCGTTCTGTTCCGAGGATTTTACGTTCTTGGCCTTTGCCAGATAGTCGTAAGCTTATGCTCAAGACTCTGAGCTTAAGACACGAGCCTCAGGCGGAAGAATCCCAGAGGCTGCGGTCTCAGACAGGCTTACCTGTAATACTTTCCTGATCTGTCTCGCGGTAGGCAAATTAACCTCTCCCGCTAGTTCGCGTAGCAGGGCTTCGTAGGCCCCAACGCGTTTCGCCAAAGTCTCTAATCGTTTGCGGTCACGGACGCGTTTAACGTCCTCGTAGGAACACGGGTGGTTCTGATAGATACACTGGCCACAGGATGGCCTCAGCCCGTCGCATTTGATCTTTCGATGGCGACAACGCTCACAAGCTCGAGCGCAGCGGCGGCGCCCGCCAAGACTTGTCTCCGCACCCGACAGGCGCGGAATGGCCACCTTGGGCGCGGACCTGAAGGCGGACTCTGGCGCAGAGGATGAAGTTGATGTTGCCGACGGGTAAAGCTGTGAGTACGAGGCCGGCGTACTAGGAGCCTGGACTAAAGGTGAAAATGAATTCGGTGGTGGATATAGCTGTTCCGCGTCTGTTGGACCAGAACTTATAGGTGCCATCCAACCGCACGAGATGAAGCTCGATAGAACAGGGAAACTTTGATCTTGTTCGTGATTCTCCATGGTGAAGGCCCGGTATCGATGCATGTAGTGTCCGAAAGCTTCACACAAGATGCAGCGAGGCTAGAAAAATTGACTACTCAAGTCCTTGTTGAAGCGTGGAGCGTGAAGTAGTCAACGCGAAGGTCAGGGGTCGCCACGGGTGGGTCGTTGGGCGGTCGCCCAATTTGACGTCAGACGGCAGATTTCTGCCAACCGGCTTCACCACCAATTACTGAGTGACTTCGTCATTTGCGTCTTCCGTGGAACAAGTTGCAGTTGACGTGTAACAATCGTCCTGGATTAATTAACCGTTCGTGATCATTGCTGGTAGGGGTGTTCCCGATACGATATCGGCAGGATTTCTCCATATCGGGTATCGTATCGGCTACTACAAATAGCTTCAAAAAATTATCGGTTATCGTCTCGGCTCACAAAATTGTCTACCGATAATTAACGGCCGATAATATCGGTTTTCAGCCGATATTATCGGTAGTATACCGATATTACTTGTATAATTAATAGGTACTACCATGAAAATTTTTCTAAAACCCTGCTGCCTTCCAGGTTCCAACTACACACCCCCTACCCCCCTACTTCCAACTTCCAACTTCCAAGCATCCTGATTACTCTCATCATTATGGCATACAAAGGCAATGAGGACCTGCAAATGACTACACGAAGGCAGGCACGAGTTGACTATGAATTGCTTAATGGTGGCCCTGATTCCCCTGAAGGAGTTCTACCATCAGACCAAATCACTGGGTCTGATATATCTCAGTTTTTTTCACAATCGCCATGGCAATTCAATTCTCCCTCTACCGATCAAGAATCTCTAGCCTTCTCAGAGATTTCACCTCATGAATCTGCCTCGCAAACCTTTACCCGGAAGATCAAGAAACCTCGCCCAGCACCGACTACTGATTGGATTTGGGATTACTTCTCTACAACTGAGGTATCCCGTGAGTGGAAAGTCCTCCGTACAGGGAAACCAAGGACTGTCGACATGGATATTCAATGTACAGTCATCGATGAAAAAACTGGTCTACAATGTAGTTGGAAAACCTCGGAATCACAAAGGCAGTCATCAACCTCGAATATGCAGCGTCATCTTGAGAGAAAACACTCAGTTCTTCCACCTCAAAGTTCAAATTCAAAGCAAAAAATCCAAGATATCCGCCAAGTCTTCAAAAAACAAGAGAACCTCTCAATCCAAGAGCATCTTGAACGCAACATCCTTCGATGGGTTATTCAAGACAAGCAAGCTTTTCTAGTCATTGGATCTCAGGCTTTTCAGCAAATCTTTGAAGATATTCCAGGAATCACTCTACCATTCACATCTCGATCAACTGTGAGTCGGCGATTACAAGAGCAATTCAAAACCCAACGATCCATGTTGAAGGAGGACTTAGCTACTACATTCAAAACAATTGCATTATCTCTTGATATATGGACAAGTCAGAATCACTATCCTATCCTCGGTATCATTGGCCACTGGCTTACAGAGGATTTTCACTATCGTGAAGAAACTCTAGAGTTCTGTGAAATCTTTGGACCTCATACAGGGGAGAATATTGCTACTGTGGTTTACAAAGCCTTAGTGGAATTGGATCTCACGTCAAAGTTGACTACAATTACTGGGGATAATGCCTCAAATGTTCAAGAGATGGTTTCTGAGTTATGGTATCTTTTGGAACAGAATCAGAATTCTTTACAACCAATTCGATTCTCTGGACCTAATAGCTATATTCGCTGTCTGGCTCATATCTTGAACCTCATTGTGAAAGATATTCTTCGTTCCTTGAAAGCTGGAAGTGTTTCAGAGGCCAATTCGATCTGTGATAATCTACAATCCAGGAATTCCCAATCGAGCTCATCATCAACCTCTCCATCGATCTCATCTCAATCAGCATTAGCTAAACTCCGGATTCTTGCTATTTGGATTTCTCGCAGTCCTCAACGGAGGCAAGACTGGAAGTCAATCTGTGATGAGATGAAGCTCGATGATAAATTCATCGAGTATGATGTAGAAACACGGTGGAATTCTACCTTTCGAATGCTTAATGATGGGATACAAGCTCGACCTCAGATTAATCGATTCTGTGCTGTACAGGGTGAAATTCCTCCCTTTACCAATGCAGAATGGGAACGACTTCGTCAGATTCATAAAGCTCTCAAAACCTTTAATGACTTGACGCACTTGGTATCTATATCAAGGCCACAAATCAGTCTCACTGTCCCAATTTACTATAAGCTTCATGATCTTTTACGGGATGATGCCTTAGTGGGATATGATGATGATATTGCTAATGCAATAAGGGCAGGCATGAAGAAGTACCAAAAGTACTATGACTTCATGGATAATTCTGAAGCTTATTATACGGCATTAATGCTTGATCCTCAGCTCAAAGGTGATCTCATACTTCATGAGATGGTAGATCGAGAGGCTGCCCAATTGATTATACGGGAGACTCGTCGGATGCTCCATAAGAGATATCCACCACTTCCACAATCAATTCCATCCTCGCTTCCACAGACAAATTTAGACTCGAATCCACAGTCAATTCTAGACTTGACTCAGGAAGATTCTCTCAATCGCAAAACAATGCGGTTATGGATGCTGAAAAAGCTACAGCCTCAGGAATATCAATTTGTTTCTGATATTGATCAGTACTTTGATAGTCCTCGGGTTACTATCACAGGTGCAGAGGATCCAGACTGGCTCTGCAATTGGTGGCGTACCCATAAGGGCGAATATCCTCAAATGGCAGAGGCTGCAAGGGAATTTCTTGCGATCCCAGCTTCCGAGGTATCAGTTGAGAGATTATTTAGTGGAGGGAGAGATCTTTTGGGAGTTCGAAGGCATAGTTTAGGGGCAGATACTATGAGGATGTTGATGCTGATGAAAGATATTGTTTAGTTAACTAGTTGAATTTTATTGCTTAGTTTGGTTAGTTCGTCGAATGAATTTATATTTATTAATTGATTAGCTACAGTTGGTTATTGCAGTAGCTAGGAGCAGAGTAGGATTAAGAATTCAAGATTGTTGGACTATTCAAGAGAGGCAATACATGCATGGATGATATATATATATAGGGGATTGATACTACCACCCCCCTTTGGATGCTACCACCTCCCCTGCCTGAATTCTTAGGCCAGTATTTTTTCTGCCGGACATATTTCTGCCACCACCGACCATGCATGAGGTACTTACATTTACTATGCAACCCCATAATTAAATGAAGTCACTTTCGTACTCTACCACCACCATGCCAACTGCACGGCGCTAGTCCCAAATAGGAAATAGATGCTGTTTTCAAAAACTCTGTAGAAATGAAGGAATTGGCCTATGCAGCGGCCGGTCGCCATTTTACGTTGAATTCTTTAAAAAGTTGCATGAGAACAGTGAAGAAATTGAGTAATTTGCATTGGATTGGCCATTTATGGAGCTCCCCGACGCTTCCTGAGGCGATCAGACCAGGAATCTTCGTCCTGAGATGCCCATGAAGCTATTCCCGACCCCTGAGATGTAGCCATGCTCGGCAGCGATGCCTGCTGGGTCCCTCCACGGCCACGGCCAACTTTCTGAGAAGCTTGTTGAGCTTCCTGGGCCAGAGATGAAGCTATTCCCACCATGGTATCACCCTGCGAGGCTTGTTGTCTTCCTCCACGTCCGCGGACCCGTCCGCGGGCCCGTCCACGGCCCCGTCCACCTTCCTGAGAAGCTTGTTGAGCTTCCTGGGCCGTAGATGAAGCTATTCCCACCCCGTTATGTCCCTGCGATGCCTGTTGTGTCCCTCCACGTCCTCTGCCACGTCCTCGGCCGCGTCCACGGCCGTGTCTACCTTCCTGAGATAGCATGAGCTCAAAGCCGGAGGGGTCTCGCTGGGTGGAGGTGTCTTGGGTGCTTGCTTGGGTGCTTTCGCCGCCGCCGATGAAGTTCCTAGCGCCTCGGGGGCGTCCTCGCCGGCGCACTTGGAGCGGATCCTGGAGTAGGAGTAGCGGGTTAATAGGAGGTGCAGATACACTGTACAAATGCCAGTGTTGATGAAATAACTCAGGCTCAAAGCTCTTCTCCTCTTCTTCGTACTGCATTATGAGATGAATGCATGGGAACCCTGCCGTATTCTTCGAATTACAGCGGCAAAGTGGAGGAATCGGCGGCTTCTCATCGCTTGCTGGTCGATAGCGGTTGTAGACGTCTATTGTAAGCTCTATCACCTTGGCCGAAATTCGTCCAACAACTAGCCTAAATAGCTGCTTCCAGCGAGTATCGGTAGACCTCCTGATCTTATCATTCTCGATCGTATCGGTGACCTTCTTGAATTGAAGCTTCACAGCATTCTCAAAGGTGCGGAGAACAACCAGTAGATCATTAGTCGAGACTTGAAGGTCCTGCTTAAGCAGCCAGTGAGCGCCCTCGGTCCGAGAGGTCGAAATCTCGTTAAGATGAAGGTATTCGGAGGTGTATTCATGAAGGAAATACTCGGGGCACTCGTCTAGCCATTCACTCTGTAGATACTCGAGTAAAGGCTCAAAAATCGGCTCTTTGTAGCATTCTTGAAGCTGTCTCCATCTCTCCTGTCTCTCTTCCGTAGTGATAGCGTAGACGACACGAATCCACCGCTTTAGCATCGTCTTCCATGCTTCATGGACTATTTCTCGAAGCTCTCGGTCTCTCTCCGCCTTCGTCCGACGCTGTGAGGAAGCAGCTTCAGTCTCTTGCCGAGCTTTTGCTAGCTGCTCTGCGAGAATCGGGCGAGCTTTCTTCATAATATTCATGTTGATATGCCATAGACAGATCATATGCTTTGTAGAAGGGAAGACGACCTTCACAGCATTCATTAGCGCTTGCTCCTTATCGGTAAGGATAGTCTGGGGTGCTTGAAGGCTAAGAGCTTCGTAAGCGTCTGCTAGACAGCTTAAAATGACTTCGTAGCTATCATCTTTCTCGTCTTTGATAAAGGCGAAGGCGACGTAAAAGGTTGAGCCCGTAGCAGTGAAGCCGACGATATCGAGCATTG